TTTGGGAAGGGACTGAACTGTCCTGTCCTCAGCTGGATTTTCACATGGAGGAGCTCCAGCCCAGCCTCCTGTGTCTGTTCCCAGCTGGCTTGAGGATGTTGCCCTAAATACAGGCGGTGGGGTCGGGATGGGGCTCACCAACCCCTCCGAGGTGCCCTCAGAGTGCCACCCCTGCCCCAGTGAGGCTGGCCAGGCAGGAGGTGGCTGGTTTGTGTCCCCAGAGGGGCCCCCAGTGCTGGGGACAGCTCTCAGCCTCTCCCCAGCCCAAGGGGCCATGCTGGGGTTGGTGCTGGTGGCAGGGGGGCTCTGGGGGGCACAGTGATGCATTCCAGCTGAAACTTGTAAGGCAGAGGTATTTTAAGTATATTGGCTTAAAGAAAATGGTTGTGAGCTTTGCTGGGGCAGATTGACAATTAATTTCTTTTTTTTTTTTTCCCCTTTTTTTTTTTTTGTGGGGCCATAAAAATTCCATTTCTGCTGTGGAAAGTTTTAACCCCTTCCTTACCCTGGTGCTTGTTTCCAGGGGTATTAAAGGGGAATTATTTTAACTAATGGCTCCCCAGTGAACTGTTAATAGATTTTGGGGAAGTGTGTGTGTTCTTTGTGCTGGGCTTTTTATCTGGACCTTGTTCACAGTGACCTGTGTATGGCTGTGACCTCCCTGCCTCCCTGCTCCTGTGTGTTGGGCAGCGTAAATACAGATCTGTGCTGTGGCAGAGGGGAGGAAAATGACTGAGCATGGGTCTGATAGTCCAAAAGTGGAATAAAAGTGAATGGAAAGATGTTGAGGGAGGCTGTAACTGAGCTCCATGGCCAGTGGAGTGTGAGGCTGCCCTGTGACACAGGGGGTACAGGGGGGAGGGACATGGAAATGGGGACTTCTGAATATCCTGCTTCATTTCCAGGTTGGCCAGATGTGCATTCAAAGTCCCTGTCACATCTGGGGAGTGCAGTGATTCTTCATCTGCGTGCTCTTCCCTATGGGCACCTCTTAAATGTGTTGTGAGCAGCTCTTCCTTGCAGCCATGTATTTTAGGGGGTGTTTGACCTGCTGAGAGGAGGTTTGGTGGCTTTGGAAAAGCCAAATGTGAATCAGAGACATTTATTTCATGTGTTTCATGATCTGCCCTTGTTTTCCATGCTGCTTTTAAGTGCAACATCAAGCAGTGGGACTGTGCAGCGTTTTGTTTTGGAAAAAAGCATCTTTCTTTTCTCTTTTAAAGCACTTCTTTGAACTTTACTGGCATAAAACACTGTCAAATCACAAATAGTCTCAAACCTCAAGTTATTTTCTTTACCTCCACACTCTGCAGGGAGCGACAGCAGCAGCAGTGCTGCGAACGCCAGGAGGATTTATAATGTTTGCTCTCTGCATTTATTCCCAGACCCAGATTCCTTCTGCCTGAGCCACGCAGGAGCCTTTTCCCTTTAAATTCTGGGTTTGATTCTCCTATCTTGTTCCTTTATCTCTAATTGTTTGAATTCACTTTGGGATGTGCTGCCGCGGAGGAAGGAGTAAACACAAGGCAGAGTTTCAGCCCCTCCATCTGATGGATGAAGGTGGCTTTGATGGAGCAGATAGCCCTGACGCCAGCCCCTCTGGAGCTGCTACAAGTTGTAGCTGCCTACAATGATAGTTGTTAAAAACCCCTCCTGTACCACTGCGGGACTCAAATATTTTCCTTTCTTCAAAAAGAACGCTAACAAGCCCGCCTCTGTTCCAGCAGAAGTGGGAGAGAGGGGGGAGAAAACAGAACAAAATGTGGATTTTCTTGTCTGTGCATAAAGGGCAGCGCAGAAAAAAAGAGGAGGGAAAAGTGGAATATTTATTTAAAAGGCAGAGGAGGAGGTGGTGGTGCGCCGGCCGCCCCTGCTCTCTGCAGAGTGGTAGTGGCTAATAGCTGGAGGCGAAACTAATACTTGGCAGGGGATGAGACACAGCACAGGCCCCCCTGGTTTGGGGGCTTGCTGAAGTGCTTGTTTTATGTCAGGGCTGCGGGATGAGTTCATCTTTGCAGGAATTGGTTGAGTGCACTGGGAGATAAAAGGAGGGAGAGGAGCCTGCGACAGCTTCCTGCGGGCAGGGGCTGCCCTGATGAGCCTTGAGCTGTCCCCTGCCACGGGTTTATTTCCCTGGGGCTTTTTTGTGCTTTGGATTCTGAAGACTTTCCTCTCCCCTGGCCAGAAGAAGTGGGTTGAGAGGAAACTTCTCACTTCTTGAGGTGCAGCCACCTGGAACTCACGTCCTTGTTTGTTTGAAGGGGCACAGGACATCTCCAGGAGTGCTGTGAGCTGGCAGTGCCAGGCTGGAGCTGTGGCATCACAGAGATGAGGAGCATTTTGGCAGGGGGATGCATTCAGGGATGGATGCAGTGAAGTTCCTGCCATAAGATGCAAGGAAGGACTTTTAATTAAGCTGTTTCAGATGCATGTGAAAAGCCCTTCTCCTGTTTTTGTGGATGGTTTTGCTTAGATATTTCCCAGTTCCTGGAAAGCAGAGATGGCACCATGGGTGTTGACACCTCCAGCAAAATATTTTTGTAGGATAGGCACCCCGACTTCACTTCCCCCCGGTATATCAATTTACAATAAACCATGAGAAACTCCCATTTAAATGTTTATTGCTGATAAATGGAGCTGCTGGGGACACCGGAGGTTTGAAGCTGTCCCATCCTTAATCTGTAAGGGAAATGCAGGGGCTGAGCAGTAATTTCTCAAAAATGTAATAACAAAACCAACATAGCTAATGGGCATGGAGGGCTTTGAGGAGGTTGGGAGGTTAAACAGATGCAGAGCTCAGTAATTGCTACCAGCCTCCAGCCCCGGCACATGAAAGGCCCTGAGCTGGTCTGTAGCCCCCAGACCACTTGAGTGGGGCAACAGCAAAGCTCAGAATTTGGGGAGAGCTTTGGGAAGGCACTGGGAGCATCTGTAGGATGTCCCAGGGGAAAAACAACTGTGGAAACTGGATGCTGTGGAAGATGGATGAACACCCTGGTTTAGTGGTAGTTGTTCCTTTTGATGGTGGGAGGATGGACTGAGATGGTGTCCTCAGAAATGTGACCTGTGGTGGGTGAAGGGGAGCAAACTCACATGGTTCCCCCAAAAGCGTGACCTGTGGTGGGTGAAGGGGCTGCTTCAGGCTGATGAGCATTCCTCCCCCGTGGCCCTCCCCTCAAATTTGTATAGTTACAACTCCAGTTAAACTCCAACAAAGCCGCTTAATTCAAAGCTGGTTAATGGGGAGGGGAGCCTGGTCCCCTCCGGGGTAATTTGAGCCTGAAAAGAAGCGGGGCTGTGCCTGAAATCCGGTGTGTCAATGGGGGCTCTGGAGCAAAATAATGGCATCACCCCGTGGGTGAGTTAATGGGACGTGATGGCACGGAGGCACCGGGGTCAGCAGGCCGCGGGCACGTGAGGGATTGTCAGGGAGCTTAATGCCGGCCACGGAGCGCGGCTGGCTCGGAGCAGAGCTCCTTGCTGGAAATTCCACGGCGGTTTTCTGTTAACCGGTGTGGTAGGAGCAGGAATGATGTTCGGCAAGTGGTTAATTCGCCCTCTTTGGGGCTCCTTCTTTTCCTGTCTTCCTTCTGGAGGCATCATAAATTGTGGAGGCATCATAGATGAAACAGATTTCTGGCAGCCTGCGTCCCTCCTGTCTTCCCTGAATGTAATTCCTAGAAAGAAGAGATGTTTCTCATTGTCTGGAGAGAGTTCCAATGGGTTTTTAGAAGGACATGTATAGTTCCTAGCAGCTACGCCCCCTTGGCATGAAACACTTCTTCAGATTTCATGTTCCCCGTGGGATCAGCGTCGCTGACAGAGAATATTACAGAGGAGACTCCTGGTGGGTCACTCATCCAGGCACGTCCTGGACATCCCCTGGGGTCACTCGGCACAAGTTGGGCTCGGGAAGCGGGGTTGCAGGAGCAGAGCAGTGCTGGGGAGCAGGCTCAGGATACTGGGACAGCGTCCGGACCGGCTCCGGTGGGAGGAACTCAAATATCCTGAGGACACACGGGCCCAGCCACAGGATTGGGCATTAAATTGGAGAGAGGGAGATGTGCTGAGCTCATGGGAGATGGTGAGCGTCCTGTGGGGTCTCCACTGGGCTTGAGCCACCACTCTTGGTGGCATTTGAAATCATTGAAGACAGGATTTGGGTTGAGCACAAGCTTTGGGTTGAAGATGGACTTTGGGTTGAGCACGTATTTTGGGTTGAGCACAAACTTTGGGTTAAACTTCTGAGGTGAACACAAATTTTGGGTTAAATACAAGTTTGGGTTGAGCACTAATATGGGGTTGAAGATGGACTTTGGATTGAGCACATATTTTGGGCTGAGCATGAACTTTGGGTTAAATACAAATTTGGGTTGAACCTGGAGATTGTGTTGAACACAAATTTTAGGTTGAGCATGAACTTTGGCTTAAATTCCAGTTTTGGCTTGAACACAAGTTGTGGGTTGAGTGTGAACTTTGCGTTGAACAAAGCTTTTGGACTGAGCACCATCTTTGGGTTGAACACAGATTTTGAGAAGAGCAGGAAATTTGTGTTGAGCAGAAGTTTTGTGTTGAGCACCATCTTTGGGTTGAACGTGAAGTTTGTGTTGAACACAAGGTCTGTGTTGAGCACCATCTTTGGGTTGAACACCAGTTTTGTGTTGAACACCAGTTTTGGGTTGAAAACAATTTTTAGGTTGAGCACCATCTTTGGATTCAGCACCAGTTTTGGGTTGAACACAAGTTTTGTGTTGAGCACCAGTTTTGGGTTGACCATAAAGTTTGAGTTGAACACAAGGTCTGTGTTGAGCACCATCTTTGGGTTCAGCACCAGTTTTGGGTTGACCATAAAGTTTGAGTTGAACACAAGGGTTGGGCTGAGCACAAGCTGAGGTTCTCACTGAGCAAAGCTGATGGGTGGGAGGAGCTGTTTCGCAGCCCCCATGGCTGTGGTTTCCCAGGTGATCCCAGCACTCCTGACTCCCCCTCTCTCCCCACAGACGCCAGCACGTCGCCCGATGCCGTGAAGAGGAGCCATTGGTGCAACGTGGCCTACTGGGAGCACCGGACGCGCGTGGGCCGCCTCTACACAGTGTACGAACAGTCTGTCAGTATCTTCTACGACCTACCTCAAGGAAACGGCTTCTGCCTCGGACAGCTAAACCTGGACAACAGGAGCGAGACTGTGAGAAGGACTCGAAGTAAAATTGGCTACGGGATTTTACTGAGCAAGGAACCGGACGGGGTGTGGGCCTACAACCGCAGCGAGCATCCCATCTTCGTCAACTCCCCGACACTGGACATCCCCAACTGTAGGACTCTGATCGTGCGCAAGGTGATGCCGGGCTACTCCATCAAGGTGTTTGACTACGAGAAGTCCTGCCTGCTGCAGCACACGGCCGAGCTGGATTATGCAGACGGGCCCTACGACCCCAACAGCGTCCGGATCAGCTTCGCCAAGGGCTGGGGGCCGTGTTATTCCAGACAGTTCATCACCTCGTGTCCTTGTTGGCTGGAGATCTTACTCAGCAACAACCGATAACGCCTCTGGCGAAAGGAAAACAACAACAAAACACACACACACACACAAAAAGTTTTAAAAAAAGAAAAAAAAGAAAAAAAAAAAAGACACAGACTATCCCAAATATCATCTACCTAGATTTAATATAAAGTTTTATATATTATATGAAAATATATATTATACTTGTAATTATGGAGTCATTTTTACAATGTAATTATTTATGTATGGTGCAATGTGTATATGGACAAAAAACAGAAAATGCACTTTGGCTTATATAATTCTTTCAATACAGATTTTTAAAAAAAGAAAAAAAAAAACCAACAAAAATTATACAGCAAAAATAGGAGAAAGCCCTAATTTTGATGTATGGTTTTTTTAAATATTATTAATACCCAGACAAAAAGCTAATACCAGTCACTCATTGATAATAAAGTATTCGCATTATGGGGGGGGATTTGTCTTTTTTCTTCCCCCCCCAGCTGAAGTTGGCAGCAGTAATGAATGAGTTGGAAGGCTGCAGCTGGTTCCTAGAGGAGGCTGAGAGCCAGGGAGCACTGGGAGCAGGTGAGAGCAAGATCTGTAGCTCTTCTCACTCAGGGCTGTCTGAGCTCATGGTGAGGATGAGGGTGCACATCCACGTTCGTGCTGATTAATCTTCATCAGTGGGTCTTGGAGAAAAGCAGATTATTCCATGGCCACAAAGCTGCCCAGCAGGAGCAGTTTGGATTTTCAGCCTTACCCAGGGGTTGTCTGTGAGCCCTGCACGTCCTGGACGTGTTTGATGGTTGAGAAACAAACGGAGACAGCTCATGGTTGGGTGGATCCTCCATTGGAGCATGGCCTGGATTTCGGGAATGTCTCCAGTGCCTCTGAGGAGTCGTGAGCAGCTTTGTCCTGTAGATCTCCCACTCTGTCATCCAGGCAATAAATGATCCAGGAGTTTTTGGGAAGAATATATTTACTCTGAGGAGCAGCTGCAGCCAAAAAAATGTCCTGGTCAGATGTGCCTGTCTCGGCTGATTTACTCTCCCTGGAAATCCGGGATAAAATCAGGATGATTTTGCTCTGACTTGTGCTGGGCCTGGCAGGGGCAGGTTGGACACGGGCTTTGCGTGGTCAGGGGAGTTATTTATTGCCAGGGCGTAGCTCTGCCAAGTCCTCTAGAGTTCTGCTGCAAATCCCTGTGCCTTTGATTCCCATAAAATCCCAGCCTCTGGAGCCCAGGGACTGGGAAGCTTTCGAGGTTGCAGAGGGTGTTTCTGTCACCATCATTTTTCCAGAGAAAAAGATGCAATGAGACCTCCAAGAATTAAATAGGGCCTAACTTTGCTCCTCAGAAGCCTTCCTGGTGCATGTCCTCCTGCATTTTGGCACCTGCACCTGATGTTCCTGCCACAGCCGTGAGTGAGGGTGGGGAATCACAGAATTGTGGAATCCTGGAATGGTTTGGGTTGGAGGAGAGCTGAGATCTCATCTTGTTTCACACCTTCCACCATCCCACTGTGCTCCAAGCCCCATGTCCAACCCGGCCTTGGACACTTCCAGGGATGGAGGATGGTGAGGGCTGCATCCCACAGGGAAGCACAGAAACCTGGGTGGGACCCAAGCAGGGAATGTCGCAATGACATTCCAGCAGTCATTTTTCAAATTATAACCATATTTGATGTTTAATTGGGACCACATTGGTTGAATTCCTGCAGCATCAGTATTAATACTTGACATCATTAATTTTTGTTTGTGTTACAGCCACTCTGAGGGAACGGTGTCAAAACATGTCACTCTCATTTAAAGCAGCTTTCCAAGAGCTTTGCAGGGGTTTTTTTATCCCTTTGCCTTAGGTTTGGTGGGTCCTGCCAAACCACCCACCTCCCTCTCTGTATCGCTTTCACACCGTCCATCAAGAGGCCATTTTTAGGTTCTGGGGGCTTTTTTAAAGAGATTTCTCCTAATACTGTCCTCAGTTTACCTGGGAAACAGCAGCAAAAGTTGTTTTCCCTGTTTCCTTTCCTTTTTTCCAGCATTTCCCATCACCACATTCACACCTTTGCTCCCTGTTCTTGTGCAGCAGTGCCACCTTTTTCCACTTTCTACCCACTTCATCCAGATTTTGGACAAAAAAAAGCACCAAGGACAGATTTGAGGGTTAACTCTGGGCTTTCCCTTGTGCAATCCACTGATGGTGCTTAATTCTCTTTTTTTCATTACTCATGCACTTCCCCAGGAATAAATCTGGAGTTTTATTTCAGTTGACAGCGGGGCTTTAAAGGGAATAAAAAAGGATTTTATGGTGAGGCAATGAAATAAGACATCAAGTATCCTTTTCTGTCTCATTTTGCCCCTTTAATACCTTCTAATCATTGAAACTTATAACTCTTTCAAGGAGCTTTAGGACTTCAAAGCTATTGAGCTCCACACTGGACCCTCTCAGAGCTCAGCTGGAGCCTGCCTTGTGCATCCCCTGTGTCCCTGTGGGAGCTGGGAATTGTCACCTTGGGGTGGTGGCCGTGGGTGGAGGGCACTTCCAGGGGGAAAGAGGAGTTAATTCCCCGCCAGGTTTGCAGGAGCAGCTGGGCATGGTTGGGTTTGATGAAGGAGCTGATGGGATTCAGCTGTACAGCACCAACAGCTGCTGCTCTTTGCCCCAGCCCCTATAAAAGCAGGGTGGGCACACCCTCACTCTTTTCTGAGTGGTCTCCTGAGCTTCTCCCAGTGGGGTTTTTCCTCCTTCCTGCAGGAATTGGGGTCTCCCAGCTCCAGAGGTAAGTGGCACATTGCTTGTTTTGTGATGTCTGTGTGGTGTTTTAGCATTTTAAGGGTGGAAATTGAAGATCCCCCTGGGCAGGAGGGGGGCTGTGCTTGGACTCAGCTCCTGGTGCTGCTCTGGGGTTTGTGTGGCTCCCTTGGAGCTGGAGCTGGCTCAGCTTTGTCCTGAGGAGGCTGCTGGGTCACCCCTGTGGTTACAAATCACAGGGGGTTTTTTGGGGGGATGTTTTGGGCAGTGCAGGGGGGAAGTGAGGTGTTTTTTCTCTGTGTGAGTGCTGGAGCAGCAGCTGTGCTGCACACAGGGGTCACACTGAGCTGAAGGGCCCCAGCCGGGCACTGACCCCAGAGCTGCTCTGGATTATCAGGGACCGTGTGAGAGGCGGTGCATTTGTTGCAGGATTGGTTGCAGGATTTGCTGCAGGACAGGGCTGCTGGCTGGGTTTGGTGCCTCAGCTGGGCTCCAGCCGGCCCTGTCACCCCTCCAAGGCAGGGACTCCTCAGGTGGAGCTGCCCCAGGCCCTCAGGCCCCATCAGCCTGGGATGGGTGCTGTGACTCCCCTGGCTCCTCGTGGATCCTCTGTGGGACAGAGGGAGCTGTTCAGAGCTGCTGTTGAGGCACTGAGACCCGCTGGACAATTCTGTGAGTGCCAAGGATTTGCTGGAGGCCCCAGCTGGATTCTCCTGGTGTTGTGGGTGTACCCCGAGTCCACTCCAGGGCAGATCCTCAATTAGTAATTCTGGTGTTGGACCCGAGCCCTTTGGTGTGTGGAGTGTGTTTATTTGACAAGATCCTCTTCATTTAGCAGTAATGGGTTTTAAAGCTCTGCTGGGCTGGGGGGAGCAGGCAGTTGCTGCTGGTGGGTCCCAGAGGCTGCTGCTCCTCCTGTGAGCAGACATTCATCATCCCAGTCCTCCACTTCCACTGCTGCTGACTGAGAAATGCTTTTCACCAGGCAGAATGGAAAAGAAATTATTGACAAATTCATCCACTCTCAGCTCTTCTTAGAAAGAGATGCTGAGAGCCCTTTGTGGCACAGGTTTGGCCACAGTTCGATGGGGGCTGCTGGTCCTTGGGCCATAATCCTCCTCCTCAAGGCTTTATCTCCACAGTAAAAGCAGAGGGGTTTGTTCAATGTGTAATTCAGAGCTGGAATTCACGTTCAGGGCTCTGTGTGGGCTGAGGGAAAGGACAGAAATCCCTGTTGGAGCAGAGGAAGGAGCTGGAGGTTTGGTTTGGGGGGTGATGGTGCTCGGCTCCTTGGGCTGTGTGTGTGGAAGGTCTCCAGCTCTTTGGGATGTGGGTTAATGCTTTCAGCAGAGCTGCTCACACATCAACCTGTGCTTCCCAAACCTCTGGGTGCTCCAGGCTCGGGCTCTGCCTCCTCTGGGGTGGGGTTGAGGTGGAGGAAGAGCTTTAACAGCTGCCAGGTGCTGCTGGGCTGGAGCTGTGAGGGCTGTGGGGTTCTCCCTGACAAACACCAGGACAAAATGTCTCATGCGGACAGGGCTGTGGGTCCTGCTGCAGGGCATGGCCTGGGGCTTGGGAGAGAGGCTGGTGGCCAATCTGCTGCTCCCTGGCTGGTTTAGGCTCAGCTTTGTGAGGAGATGGGAGAGGAGAGAGCCTGGTGCCTTCCCCTCCGTGTGTCCCTGCTGGGACAGCACAGATCTGCTCTCACCAGCTGCCAGCAAGGACCACCACCCTCCTAGAGAACAAAAACAAGGATTCACCTCATCTCCCCTCACCTGGGCTGGGGGCACTGCAGCAGGGTCCATGGCTGATACCCCAAAAGTGCATCCAGGAGCTGGCTGAGTGCAGAGCATCCCGAGATATTTCCTGTAAATAACTCCTTTTGCTCCCCTGAAAAGGTCTCATTTTCTGTCTGGAGTGTGATGAAGCATTACTTGCTGCTTTGTGGATAATCCTTCCTATATTCCTGATTTATGGATGTGCTGGTGCGATGCACAAAGTGGCATCTGTGCTCTGCACACTGTGGGAACAACCCAAAATTGCTCTGAAACTCAACTGGCTCACAATTATATTGGATTCTATTAAATTAAAACACATAGCACATATATTACACAATAAACCACAGCTATTTCATGGATCAAATTAAGTTTTATTTGGGCAAATTACAACCTTTCTTACAGTTAGGCCTTTGTGAAACCATTCCTTTTTAATAAAAACAGGCATTTTTGGCAAATGCTCTTAAAGTGTGCATTCCCAATAATTGCATATACTGTTGCTATTCTTTCTGGGATGTATGTGGCTAATTATCTTCTGTTTAGGATAGGTTTAAATGAGTGGTGTCTTCCCTTTGCTCCTCCCCCACACCTCCCTTCTGCTGGAATTTCTTACTGCTTTCCATTTTTATTAGCTTGGCTATGGAAGAGAGCAAAGGGGAGGGAAAAAATTCTTCTCATTAAAAGCAGGAGTGCTTTTCCCGGAATTTCTTGGGGAAATGTGACTCTCTCAGCCTCCCTCCAGCCCTGGCTCGAGGGACACGGGGCTGAGGGGGACAAAGCTGCAAATGGACCTTGGAGAAGTGGGATGGAGCCCTGGGAGGATGGTGGGAAGTGCCCCCAGCCTGTGGAGAGGCGAAGCTTTGGAGAAAATGAAGGTGTTTGTTGGGGAGGGGCTCGGGGGGCTCCAGCTGCCGTGGAATCGCAGGTGAGGGTTGGATTTCCCTGCTGCCCTGAGAAGCTGCAGGCTCTGCTTGTGGGATTTGGGGCTGGGACATCTCTCGTGGTTCCTTATTAAAGCTGGATTTCGTTGCTGTGTTTCCCTGTGCAGGGGCAGGAAGGGGGTGGCACCTCAGACCCCAGGGAATGTCTCTGGCTCATCCTCACACAGTTTTGGTTAAAGGCCAGTCAGTGCTTCAGGAACTGTGGGGATGGACAGGCAGGGTGGCTCATTCCCGTGTTTCCTTAGGAAACTTGGCTGGAAAATGAACCCCCCCCAGCTCCTCTCTGGATTTGGGATGTGCTGCTTTTCCTGCCTCTCGTGTTCTGCTGGCTGCCAGGCTTGGAGATACCGGATTTATTCCTGGGAATGTTTTTTCCCACAGTATTTGCAGCCTGGACAGGGAAGCAGAGGAAATGTCCTAAGTGCTGCTTTCCTCAGGTAACGTCAGGATGGTTCCCAGACCCCCAGGGTGGAGATAAAGGGTGGAGCAGCCTCCAAACTCCCCAATTCCTGAATCCAGGCTGGTGTCTCTGCCCCAGCAGCCCCTTGGGATGTGGGAAGGCTGCTCAGCCTGGTGGGATGGGAGCAGTGGAGCTGTTGCTGTGGATGTCCAAAGCACATCACATAAAACTTCAAAGCTTTCTGTCAGCTTTCCAAATCCTTCTGGGCACCATTGTCAGGAGATCAAGAAGGTTTTTGGAGCCTCCCAAATGACATCTGGATGCTGTTTATGGGATTGTGTTTATGATCACATCTGTGGGAGGGGTTGGCACTGGGAGCTGGTCTGGGAATGCCAGGGCCATGGGCTGGTGGTCACAGAGAGGAACCCCGGAGCTCACGGTTTCCTTGCTGCTCTAAAACAGCTGCCAGGAGTTTCCTCAGAGGTTGGAGCATCCCAGCTCCCTCCCTCCACAGCCCTGGCAGTGCTGGGAGCCCCAGCACCCTCCAGCTGCCAGCCTGGGCTGGCTGGGGCGTGCCAGGGCTGGTGGGACTGTCTGGGTGCTCCACCACGCTGACAGGGAGTGGGCACCAGCCTGTGCCACAGGGAGGAGGAAAGGAGATTGTTCTCTCCTACAAAACACTCACAGAAACTTCATTGATTGATCTTTTAAATTTTTATTTTATTTTTTTTTTTAATAATAAAGTGCCTCTGATCTCTTGCCTCTTCTCAAAATGTCCAGGATGGGTTTTCCATTGCCAGTGCCATAGAATGTGTGAGTGGGGCAGGAGTCAGTGGCACTTGCTCGGTCCCCCAGCGTCTCTGCACCCCTTGGGGGGGCAGGAACCTAAAGAAATGACCACAAAACATTGTTGGTGA